GGGATGACAGCCGCGTCCTCTCTCTCCGCCCGGGATGACAGCCGCGTCCTCTCGCTCCGCCCGGGATAGCAATCGCGTCCTCTCGCTCCGCCCGGGATGACAGCCGCGTCCTCTCTCTCCGCCCGGGATGACAGCCGCGTCCTCTCGCTCCGCCCGGGATGACAGCCGCGTCCTCTCTCTCCGCCCGGGATGACAGCCGCGTCCTCTCGCTCCGCCCGGGCTGACAGCCGCGTCCTCTCGCTCCGCCCGGGCTGACAGCCACGGCGGCCGTCTGTCGCCCTGCGGCTCGACGCCGGCGGTGGGGCAATGCCGACGCGTCGGCTTATCGGCGGCGACAGTGTACACGCAACAACCGGGGCAAGGGGGGGGGGGGGGCGTCCGCCCGACGCGGGGAGGGCCAGCGGCCTCACCGCGCTGGCTCCACTCGACACGACATCGTGGTGTTTGATTTCCACGGGGCGCGTGCAATTACACCCGATTGCATCGGTGGACGCGTGGCGGGACCATGGACTTTGGGGGAGGGGGGCGGGGGTCTGAGCGGGCGGGCGGCGAACCCCGACACGCCAGCCCTGGCAGCCTGTCTTTGCTAGGGACGGATGGGAAATGAGCGTCCTCTGATGTGGGAGACACTGAATAGATAATGGCGGCCTGGCGGAGCGATTGACGGTGATTTGGCAGCAGAACACGAGGGTGCACTGGTCTGGTGTCGGCCTCAGTAATGCTGGCACGCATCCCTGCATTGCTCTTGCTGACCGCGCCTCCGTATGCATGCGTTCTTGTGCGTTCTACAGCCTAAGGAGGGGAAGGGGAAGCGTTGGGCCGGCGGACCTCTAAATGCGTTTTTCGCCACCTCGTCATTTTTTGTTGTTTGTTAGAAACGCGATGCACACGGCTTTTTTGAACTGGCAGTGACTACAAAGACCATATTAGCGGTCAGAAGCCCTGGCGCAACCGAGATTCGAACACCCCCCCCCCCCCCCACGTGAAAGCCGAAGGCGCTAATCACCCGGCCAATACCCCCCCCCCCGCATCTCGCCAGGCGCACTTGCTCTCCGTGGTGGCGGCACGTTATACAACATCAGAATTGCTCATGGGCAAATGCAGTCTGCACAATGGATGCGATTGATCATGCCCGGAAACCGGATATTAAAGCGACCGGAATGCTGGCTTATCACTCGCTATCGTGTCTTCATGTGCTGCCGAAACCGCTACGCAATTTATATTCCAATATCTTCTCAGGCAGACTGTGGATGGCCTCTGATTGGGTCTGCTATTCCTAAGAGCGCTATAGCACCACATCATACTCCATGTATTGGTAACCGCAAAATTTAGCAATTACTTTACATCGTACCACATGCTGGTGGGGGGGGGGGGGGGGGTCGGTGCAGTTGTTCAATAAACTTGAATGTCTGGTCCCAGGCCGACATGTGGTACGCTTCATGGCCGGGTAATTGCTCCGTAAATCAACGCGCGGCGGTGCGTCTTATTCCGATCATATATTACACGAGCCAGATCAGTTGCCATGTTGCCCGTCTCACCCGTTATTTATGGTTTACGATCATTTTATGCAGCGCACCGCTCCATGAATGTTGCATAGCCGTCCCAGACCTTCTCTGGGCGGCGTTTATTCGTCGTTCGGGGATCCAGTGGGGAAATATTGGTTCGAACGCGTTTCGTTCTCGAACGGCCCCATCCATCGTGGCATGATCACCTTCCTAAGTCTAAGACTGCCGATAAAGCTGTTCGTGAGTGGAGTCGATCCTGCGGCCGTTTTGACTATTTCAACGCATCGTCTTGTTAACAGGTCCATCGTTTGGTGGCAGCGCACCGTCATTGTGGGAGAATTAAGCTCTTTACAGCCCGTATAAATAAGAACAGGTGTCTTCGTGTTTTGCAAGACTTTTATAAACAGAGCGGCATGCCAGCTGATTTCGGGGTGGCCACGAGGACATGCATGTATGCATGGTGGCAAACCAGGCCTGACAGTTACGCGAAATCAATAGTTCGCGCCCTGACTTTCAAGACACGAGGTGTGGCTCCGGTTTCTTTACTGCACAGTGTGCTCCCACATTGCAAGACCGTAGCCTGAAGGTCCCTGATGTGACTTCCTTCACCGATCAGCTGAGCCTTCGGCCTACCGCGCCATGCTTCCCGCCCAAGTCTTGAGATCGGCTGCTGTTGCCGACCGGAGGTGAGGCTTTCAGCAACCGACGATGGGCGCGCTTCGGATCGCCGCCCACAGTCCAAGCACGTGAAACTACCGGTGACCATGCCTCACCGATAACCAGACCTCATTGCAACGATGCCTTACCGATAACCACACCTCACCGATAACCATACTTCACCGGTAACAAATACTTCGTCGTAAACATATCTCACTAATAACCGCACCTCACTAATAACCACACCTCACCTATAACCATACATCACCATAACCCACCGATGACCAAATATCAGCATAACCTACCAATAATCATACATCACCGTAACCTACTGATAACCATACCTCACCGTAACCGCACCTCACGTCAACCTCACTGTGCGGGCATGGCTCCTCACGGTGCGTGAGCCAGACTGAGGTCGTGTTGGAATCGTGCGCCATCTGCTCTCGGCCACGGGTGGCCCCCAGGAGGCCTCCCGCAGGCCCGGCTCTGCTGGCGCGGCCGCGTGCCTCTGGCGCTGCTCGTTAGCCGGCCGCGGGCCCCGGGCGGCCGGGGCCCGCGGCCGACCTTCGCCTCGAGCCATTTAGGGGGCGCCGCCGCTGGCGATGGCTCGATCCGCCGGGCCATTCGTCTCCGATAGGCGCCATTGATCCGTTGCCCTGCCACGGGACGTTCCTGAGGCGCCGTCCGAACCGGCCGGCGGTGGGCCTGCAGCCGCGCGGTAATGGCGCCCACCCGGGGCCGGGGCCTCAGCTGGCGGCCGCCGCCGCTGGCCGTTACGGCCGAGGCGTCGGCTCGCCTCAGGCGCGGCCAGCTGCACACCTGAGCTAAGCGTCATGGCAGTCACCGGTCTTGGTCAGGCGTTGTGGCGTCGCTCGGGCGGGCCCGCATTCGTCCCGTCTGGTTTCTACGTGCCAGCTGCTCAGGCGCCCGCCGGAAGAGGTTACTCTGTTGCGCTTACGTTATTTCGCCTCGACGCGTGTTCAGGCCGTCGATCTTTGCACCCGTCGACTGTCCCGCCTCACCAAACCAAACGCGCCCTGATCGAGTGCCGTGCAAACGTCGCCCCGCCCGGATTTCATTGCCGGCGCGGCGGCGGCGACGGGCCATCCATCCGGCGGCGGGCTGGCGATCCATTACGGCGCACGCGCGTCGAGCGAACGTGCCGGCGGCCCGTGAGAGATCGCCCGCTCAGTCTCACCCGCTCGTGATGCGGCCGCAAGGGGACGTTCCTCGGGCCTGGCGACACGGGCGCCGCTTTATCTCTCGGTCTCCGTTCGCCCGCGTAACGGCGTCGTTGGGGGGATTTCCGGACCGGGGCGGGCCTCGTGTCGACAGGGTCGACGGCCGGGGGGCGGGCCACTCCTCCGTCCGGGGATCGCGCGGACGGACGCTCCGGCACCCGGGGTGAAGTGCTGTCGGCGGCATGGAGGTTGCGATTGTTGCACTGAGTTCCGGGTCAATCTCTCTCAGCGCCATGCTGGCAGTCTTGGGATGGAGAGACCACTGCCTGAGCCGGGTCCCATTGATAATCCTGGGAATTCAAACTGTCTAATTTAATTTACTCTCCCTCAAGTTCTCAATTACTTTATTGGCACCATTGCATTAACTCGATCAACGTCTTCGGAAATTAGAGAAGTTTGTAGCTTACAGTGGATGACCATTAGTGAAATGAGTTCACTCCGGATGGACGAAATGGACGTCTGGCCGTCTAGAAGTCCCATCAATGGCACCAAACTAGTTCCAATTTCGGGAGACATTTATTCCGCCGGCTTTCATAACAAAGTACAGCTTTCACCCGAGACCTCCCAGCCTCAGCCAATACATTAACTGCTTACATGTCCTGGGATACGGTGCGCGGTCGACAACGTCTCTAAATCACCTCTGGAAACGTGAGGCCGCCACCGGGCGGTTTGGACGGCGGTGCCATGTTGCTAAATGGGTCGTGCCGGAGGTCGTTAGCATTCTCGTGACCGCGACCCTGCTGGGGCGCGTGCCGTGCGGTACATCCGGTCACGGCAGCCCCACCCATCATCAATCATGTCGAGCCACAGACGGCCGGCGGCTCGTCTCCGATCAGACCAAGGATCATGCAAATACTCGGCAACGCAAAACTCGGTTTACAACAAGGAGAGTTGCAAACGTTTTACATGCAACAGTTTGCTTACGTGAAGGGTTGAATTTAAAGCCCGAAGGCTAGCAGTGTTCTTGTTTAGAAACTGCAAAATAAGTGAGTGGAAAATTCGCAGTGAAAAAGTCAGTTGAAATATAAGGGCAGTACTGACATTCATAGTATTTTAGTTATTTCATTTACCATGACCCTGCCGCCTTTATCCCTGCCCATTCCCATCGCACAGTTTAGGCCTGGCGTTTGTTAATAATGGGCTTCTGTTCATATACCATGCACCCTGCTCTGTACGGAGCCTTGTTTCTTTTATCGCGTACCCCATGCGTATCCTGCCATTTTCCTCCCTACGTCCCCTTGTCACCGCGATGGATACATTAGTTGAGCTACTGATGAGCTACATTTCGCTAGCTCTATCGAAAGACGCGGACGCACCAGCTAGTAAATACAATATATTGCAGCTAGTTTCGATGCTGATTTGTTTATCACAAACCGACGCCAAGATACCTTTGCAAGCTCGGGTGCTTGTGGACGCTCTGAAAACTATTCTGGAAAGACGTTAAGTGCGTAAGGGCCGGAAGCCGATGTTTACGAATGCATGTTTCAGTACCAGCATAGTTCAGCTCATGTGTTTCACACTGGCAATTGCTGAACGATGCTCGCGGCTACGGCCGACGGCTGCACGCTGACACAAAGACCCTCCCCCGTTGCAGTGGTGCTGCAGGACTACGAGGTCACAGCCGTGGGCGGAAGGTCACCGCCGGGTCAGAGCGCGCTGCTGACCTGTCGCGTGCCGGCCCACGTCAGGTCGGCGGTCAAGGTCACCTCCTGGGGCGTCGACGGCGTGCTCAACGTGTACCCGACCCTGTTCGGAGGTACGTCAGCGGCCATTGGTCTGGCTGGCCCGGCGCGGTGCTAATGAGACATTTGTGGCAGCGGCTTCCCGAAGTGGTGGTGCTTTAGCGCGGATGTTTGCATTCGTGAGCGACAAAAGGAGCGACGAAACTGCCACTTTCATATTGAAATGCGCGAAATGGAATTGTGGTGCGATCGCATATTTGTCTTCAAAGGAATAAATGACATACCCTGTCACTGGCATATTGCCTGTATCTGTTCAAAAGCTCGAAAACTGCGCACGCTTTCAAATAACATTCGCTTTCAAAGTTACGCTTTTCATTTAAACCCATGATCAAAATCCCGGATCTGCATAGTGTTTATACTTTGTTTCACTAAACACTCCAGAATTCGGCCGCTTCCGCATTGTTCAGCGGACGGCAATCTCCCCTGACAATTTCTAACAAGATCTTGTCCCGTCTGTGTTGGCGACCGTGGCACGACTGGACAGGCGTCACAGCTCAGCAGCCCGCTCGAGCTCCTAATCAGGACACAGTGCACTGCCTCACGCTCATCTGTATGTAGTGCGGGTCGCGGCAAGCTCTAACTTGTCGCGAAGCGTCCGGTTCAGACAAAGTGAAAGAGAAGTTGAAGAGAGGTGTCTGATATTTTCGGGAAGTGATGCGGTGGCGGGCAAACGGAAGTGGTGCGCACATCCCGCCAGGTCGTCGCGGAAGGCTCCCACTCCCCCATCGCCGTGTTGGCGCGACAGCTATCTGGGCGCCAGCACGACTCCGGGCCCGTTCATACACGAGAGCAGCAACATTCCAGTACCCCATGATGAACGTGGCTTCGACACCAGCACATGGTGCAGCAGGTCCACCGCGGCCGGCACCCCCGCAGTCCTCAGAGTTTCCGGTGGGCGGCCGGCACTCCCCGCAGCTCCCAGAGTCTCCGGTGGGCGGCCGGCACTCCCCGCAGCTCCCAGAGTCTCCGGTGGGCGGCCGGCACCCCCCGCAGTCCTCAGAGTCTCCGGTGGGCGGCCGGCACTCCCCGCATTCCCAGGGTCTCTGGTGGGGGGCCGGCATTCTCCGCAGCCCCTAGAGTCTCCGGTGGCAGGGCCGCGAGCGCGAGCAGTCGTGGTGAAGAGCCGCCAGCTATCCGGTACCGAAGTGGCAAGCTGCACACTATCGGTCCGGACCGCCACCACCTGGTCCAGCGCCACGCGAGACGGCGCATGGGCTGAAGCGTTGCATGAATCGGACTCACAGCCTTACCACTCGCGACGAGCTGTTTCTGCCGCTCCTTCCTGCCTCCGCTATAGCTTCAGAAGGGCGTGAATGGAATAGAAATTACCTCGCGCTGGAAGATTTGCATAGTGGCGCTGTTTCCTGAGCATACGGGTGCCTGTGTAAGGCTTGAGGGATCCGAATTGACATGCGTTGGGAAGTGTGAAAGGTAGCGTGGGAGCAGCGTGTGGTTTTCAACTTGCGAGGGATGTACTCATTAGGCGTCCCATGAATCGCGCCCACCTCTCGTAGTTTGAGGCACACGCTTTGTTCGAACTACGATGTTCCTTGCATGACAAGGGTCGTAGGTACTCGGAAGCATTCGAAATCCTCGGCCATTAGCTCCATAAACACGTCAAATTGCATGGCTTCAATGCAGCCGCTGGAGTGCATTAAATGGACAAATGCTCAGCCTTGCCTTTATGTAGCATTCCACACTAGGCTGTACTTGGCATCAGGACCGTTGCTCCTCAGGGATACAATTCCTGTTGTTGTCCTCTTTTCGAACTGAATGTGCAGTGTTGGTCAGAGGGCACATGCAACCGTATATACTACCCAAAGGCCATTCAGGGCCCGTTGGTGTCGGGCCTCAATTAAGCTAACAGCTTGCTCGCGATCAATGTGTGCATGAAGCATTAATTTCGGGAACAGCGGCTCGACCACAGTGGCGTTTCGGTCGCTCCAACACCCATGCTGTGGACGAAGCATATGTTTCTGTCCTGGCCGAATTCAAAGGAACGTGATGTGAAAGACGCATTTACCTGTCCACATTGTCTTCTATAGACCGCTTGCATCGCAAACAGGCGTTAAGCGCTAAGCCAAGGCAAGGCCTACAGCCCGTTAGGAAGCCCGCTCAGGGGCAGGTGCTGTTTGCCCGCAAGATCTTTTGTCGCTGAATAGGGTTCTGATTTTAAGATAGTCATGTTTGGTCAATATGGATGGTGAAATTGGTGCTAACTGATGCTAAACACGAATTCAGAGCGCAAACCTGGTGAAATGTTCGCTGTTGATGATTTGTTTGAGATAGTACGCGTTTGGTATCATAATATTCTCTCCGTCATTGGGGCTTTGCGGCGCACCCAGCTGCTGAGGTTACCCGGCGTGGCTTGTCCCTCAGCCAGACAGGAGTGACGGGTAGTACGCCATCCCTGACAGGAATGGCGTGGGAGTGGAATACCAAACCAGTGGTTCCCAAAATGCACAGCTTAACACTTCACTATTGATACCCATAATCTTCTTGTGCAGAAAAATCAATTCAAGGTATTTTTTGGTAGATGCAGACTCATTTAACGCTGGCATGATTGGGACTGGCACAATGATCAGCGTGACGTTCTGCAAGTGCCAGGCAGTCAAAGAAGAAGAAACTGCGGTTAGAATGGAGCAATAAAATCGAAACTTAAATTTCATCGCTTGCAGGCCTAACTGGCTCTATGTCATTTCGCCTAACCCATATGATTTATCAACACACCGATCGCGGCAGGAATGTCACCAGTGAATTGTTGCAGCTGAATGGAACCAAGCGGTCTAAGGGTCGACCTCTCAGACGCGACGTGCCGGCAAACCATCGGGGCAGATGACATCAAAAGATCAGATGACCAGGATTGCCAGATCTTGCGTGCTTTGGGCATGTTGCTCTTTGTCTGCTCCTGAACTTAACATCCCTCTTACAATAAATGCGCCAGTTAGAGCTCAAACGAAATCTGAGCCATCCAGCAACTAGCCGCTTTCAAGGCTTAGGGTTTTTTCGGAGCAGCAGGTCCGTTTTGCTGCCAGGCAAATGCGCAACATGGTGGCCGGAATTCACAGATGGCAAACACAGAAATCGGGATATTATCTTACGTCCCATCATTGGAACCGTGCTGTCACGCTTCAATCTATGCTTGTGTAGGCCAGGGGACTGAACAGCTTTCCAGAACTCTCATACGTCTGGGCCGTTTGTTATGCTGGTGATCATCGCCTGCGTCCTTCCAGGTGGGCCACTAGTGAGTTCGACCTGACTGTACCTGCGAACGACGTGATGAGGGCCTAGCAAAACACACGCCTTGTGATGGCGTGGTTGTGTCGGCTGTGTTTCTATTGTGTGACTGGCCGACCATAACAAACTTAGGCATTAGTCGTGCTTTGATAGCAGCAAAGAAATTGACAACAACGGCGGGCATTTTCTTTTGTTTGGATAATAATTAAACACACTTTCCAACATGCAACTCATGTCCCTGATTTCACCTAGACTACTGAACGTGGCACAATGTTAACGAGATTCCCGCCCTGCTCGACTCCCCTTCCTTGCTTTCTCATTGTGCTTTGTGTCCAACAACTACTCGGCGATTATATGGAGTGTTCGGTCCCAGATGGTGACAAATCGACGGCACAATCACTGGATGGCAGTTTGCTTGGCAATCACTGAGCTACTGCTGCAGTAAAACTGAAACGATCCACACCGCAGCGCCCCGTTTGAGAGCCTGCAATCGTCACATATTCACATGTTTGTGACTTCGGGTGTAGTTGAACCTCAGAATACAGCCGGACTGGGAATTAAACACGGATTTACTGTCGAACCAACGAGAGACCTTCGAATCGATGCCAACAAATCACGCTACGCTACGCGCAGGCACTAGATTGAATGTGAGTTGTGAAAGCTGTCCTTTTAGGAACCATTGACGGTTCAGTTAATCTACGGCAGTGCTTTCTACGCTACGCGCCGAGGGCTATTTGGGGGAGGCTCCTGTCGGACAAGATGAGCTGCGCCAGGCGTTTCTGATGAGTTTCGTGCGCTCGGTGAAGTTAGACATCCCGATTGAATGCCGGGCAGATTTTATTTCGAAGTGCGCTCGCGACCCGCTGCCATACGATATTATGGTGTTGCCAAACCACCATGAAATTCTGTGACTACAGAACAAGCAAACGATATCCCGCAATTGTCGTGCCGTCGTGACTTTTTCAGACACGTTCGGATTGACACGATGCATTTTACCGCCGAAAGAAGGAGCAACCAATACCATATGATGGAATGTGTTTGCGGCTAGCTTTCCATGCAAGGGTCCTTTTGGTTTGGAGCGGGGCACAAGCTGTCCAAACGTGGTTATAGAAAATCTTTCATTTCCTTTCAAGCATGTGCTTTAAACCACTCGAATATATATATATATATATATATATATATATATATATATATATATATATATATATATATATACACATAAATATATATATATATATATATATATATATATATATATATATATATATATATATATATATATATATATATATCTATCTATCTATCTATCTATCTATCTGTGTGTGTGTGTGTGTGTGTGTGTGTGTGTGTGTGTGTGTGTGTGTGTTGTGTGTGTGTGTGTGTGTGTGTGTGTGTGTGTGTGTGTGTGTGTGTGTGTGTGTGTGTGTGTGTGTGTGGTGTGTGTGTGTGTGTGTGTGTGTGTGTGTGTGTGTGTGTGTGGTGTGTGTGTGTGGTGTGTGTGTGTGTGTGTGTGTGTGTGTGTGGGTGTGTGTGTGTGTGGTGTGGTGTGTGTGTGTGTGTGTGTGTGTGTGTGTGTCTATGTGTGTGTGTCTAAGGTATGCTTTGTATTTTTCCCTTTTTTGCCTTTATTTTTTGCCTTTATTCATGTACGATTGCTGCTAGGAATGACCATTTTAACATGTCTCTCAACCTTGTTGCCCCAATATTTGCGAAAGCCACTTTATGTTGGGGAGTGTTTTAAATGTAATACACATCCTGAGAGGAAGCGAGGCGGGCG